GGCCTCCAGAACTGTGAGACGATCAATTGTGGTTTAAGCCACTCGGATCGGGGCAGGGCAGCCCAGGGGAACGGATGCAGCGGCTGCCCAAGGACGTGGGGAGGGCGGAGGGCTTCAGGGGGGTGCTGGCTGCCGCCCTGCCTGTGCACCGCCATTTAATTAAATGATGTTCACAGCCATGGGCTGTTTCTCCCAAGAACTAGCCTTCTCTGGGGTTCCACCCATGGCCCGTGGTTCTCCCAGGATGGTTTCATGGTTTCCTGTGCTGTATATAGGTGGTTCTCGCATTTTTATTTGGGGGCCAGAAACTTCCCGTTGGACCAAAAAAAAAAAAAAGAAAGTTAAACAACAGAATAACTTTAACAATTCCATAAGTAGAGAGTGTTGAGCCAGGCAAGCTCTACCAGATGTTAAAAAATAATGTTAAGCCTCAATAAATAAAACAGTGTGATCCCAGTACATGGAAAAGGGATTAAAGACACTGCCTGGGAAAGTCAGAAATGAACAGAAACCCATTTGAAAATGTAATGGATTTTGAGGGTGGCATTACAATTCGAAATGAAAGGATGGATTGTTAACAAACAATACTGAGCCATCTAGTGGGGGAAAGCATGCCTGTGCGGGGCGGACTGAAGCTGTAAAAACTTGAAAATTTAATTAACAAACGTAAAAGGCTCATATATCATCTTTGATGTGTGTGCGCGCGTTTAAATATGGAATCCTACAAACTTTGGCAACGTGCTTTCTTTTTTTTAATCTGCTATGTCAGAAACATCTTTCCAGTCCCTTTGGTAGTTGCAGAAGGTTCCATCGTATTGATCGACGACGACACATGCGGTCTCCGACTGAGAGTTTTTAGGTTGTTTGCTGGTTTTCATTACTATAAATAATGCCGAGAAGCATGTCCTTGTCATTAGTCTCTACCGGCCGTAGCGAGGCAAATCTTTACGCATGCGTACTAGTACCGCGTTTTTAGGATGCATTATTAGGAGTGAATTTGCTGAGTCATGGAGTGGGCACTTCAACTCAGCATGGCTGGCTGACTTGTGACAATGCTGTGTTCTGTCCAACCGTGTATGAATGTCCATTCTCCCCAGGTCTTGTTATCTTAGGATGGCCAGCGCGGCGCAGGGGTCCCCTGAGGCTCCTCGGGACTCCCCAGCTGACTCCCTGCCTCCGCCGCCCCGACATTGGTCCAACTCCCCCGACATTGGTCCAACTCCCGGTTTTCCCCGCCTCCCCGCCCCCTCCGGAGGCCCAGCCCTCTCTGTGGGCCGGAGGGAAGGGCTGAAATGTCTGCAGAAGCGGTGGGTGACAGGCCTCAGTGAAGAGTGTGGGATCCAAGCCCTTCCCTCAACTTCTGGGTTCCAACTCACCCACTCCTCCTACGCCTGCGCCTTATTTGAAATCTCCACCTTCTGGAGAATTCCTCAGCCTGCCACCTCTGACTCTGGGGCTGTTCCCAGGCCTTGCAGGCTCCCGGCCCAAGGCTGCCCTCCTCTGGACACAGGAGAGATGGAGATAGTGACAAGGACCCAGAGTCAGGTAGAGATGAGGACAGATTAATATGGAGACAGATACAGGCACAGAAGTGTCCGAAGAGAAGCAGAGACAGAGGACGCCCGCCGCACCCCTTCCTGATGTGTCCAGGGCCGACTGGGCTCTTCCCACCAGTTTGCAGCCTGACATGTAGGGTCTCTGTGAGACCCAGCTGCCACCCGCCCTTCCTTCCGCTCCGGGAACCCTGACCTCACAAGGTTGCCCACGGGGCTGCGCCCTTCGCAGCCCCGGGCCTCGGCAGGCCCTCCTGCCTCCGCGAGGATGCCGGCTCCCAGGCGGTTCCTCGGACCGGTGCCTCCTGATCTTTGACGTCTCAGCAAAACCCTTTCCCTGACCACTCTGGGCGTCTCTCCACGGCTTCTGGTCTTTTCTGGGAGTCACAGCCCCGCGATCCCACGTGCCGCTGCCATGAAAATACTTATCACCTTGCTCTGGGGCTCTCTCTCTCTCTGCAAATGCCTGAGCTTCACCCGGGCAGAGATGGAGGCTCTTCGTTTTTTCAGCTCTGAGGACACACGCCGTGGGCTTGTTAATCGGACCGAAAACTCCACTCTAACACCTCCCGTCTGTGTGACACTGGCTGTATCACTTCCCTTCTGATTTTCAATGGTTTCGTCTGGAAAGTGAGGATGCCAAATCCTGCCTGCTGCGTTCTGAAGACACCAGAGATAGCCTTTGCCTCATGCCACCCAGCATTCGTTCCCTGGCTTTCACAGGGATCTCTAAAGTCCACCAGCCTTCTGCACAAAGGCACTAGAATTGTTGATCAGAAACCAATAAATGGTGATTAATATTTATCGGCACAGCCTTGGCCCATGTGATTCAGTTGGTTGGAGCATCATCCCAGAACCAAAGGGTCTCAGGTTCAATTCCCAGTCAGGGCACGTGCCTGGGTTGGGGGTTTGGTCCCTGGTCAAGTTGTGTTCGAGAGGCAACCAATCGATGTTTCTCTCTCATACTAATGTTTTTCTCCTCTCCCTCCCTTCCCTTCTCTCTAAAATCAGTAAGTATGTCCTCGGGTGAGGATCAAAAAAATAAAGAATATTTACCGGCATGTCTCACGTGCCAGGTCCAGTTTGTAGACCATCTCAGTGAACTCCCTCACCCACCCTGGGCTGTCGGCACTGACGAGGATGCTGACAGCAAGACAAGGGGACATCACTGGCTCTAGATCCTGTCCCATGTACTGATCTATTGTCCCTTTCCACCTGTAGCGGACACTGTTGGCGGCCAGCCCTGGTCTGCTTATCAGCTCTGTTCACCCAGCCCCAGCTCCTGGGAGTTTTGTGCATTAATTGTACCTTTTTTTGCTTCTGTATTTGTGGGGCTTTGACATGCAGGGCCTGGCTAACACCGGAGGGACCACCCTGACAGGGCCAGCCACTTCCTAGAGCTAATCGAGGACTCCCCTGCGCCCAGGCCTTTCCTGAGCGAACCCAGCAGCCCAGAGCCCCCGCTCCCAAACACTCCCCTTTTCAAGTCTTGACACTCCAGGACATGACTCCTCGGCCTGGTCTCAGCAGAGCCAGGTTCCAGACACCTCAGGACACCCACGAGGCTGCTGAAATTATATGACCTAGTCCACCTTACGCCTGTTTACCCTGCCCCATCGGCTCCTCCTTTGAGGAAGCCATGATAAACGCTCTCGCCACGGTTACCATCTCTCTCTCTCTGCCTCCTGGCTGACCCTGGGCCTTCCCCATGGGGCCCTGCATGGCTTGGGGTGCTCCCTCCTTTTGGGATCTGTGAGAATAACAATTTGTGTGTGTGTGTGTAATAGGGGAAGGGAGGGAGAAAGAGAGGAAGAGAACCACCGATGTGAGTGAGACACATCCATCAACGGTTGCCTCTCATAGGCATCCCAACTGGGGCCGAACCTAAATCGGCAACCCAGGCATGTGCCCTGACTGGGAATTGAACCGCAGACCTTTCTCTTTTCAGAACAACGCCCAAGCAACTGAGCCACACCCATCAGGGCTAACAAACTGTCTTTTCAAGGGCAATCGTCTGATCTGCTGACCTCACCCTGAATAATAACATCTACATTTTAAAACACTTTGTTGCTAACATATTACCCTGTGACCTTCCTCCCAGGATTGCTCTTGGGGTCTACATGCTTGGGAGGTCGTGTCCCAGTCCCCTCTCAGGACATACAGCCCAGGACTAACTAGAGAGGTATAGTAAGTCTCCAAATATGGCCTCCAATGACCATGCCCCTCCCACCCCCATATTAACACATTTCAGTAGTCGCCGCCCATATTCATCCTGGCTTGGCCTGACTCACAATAACAAATAGCATACAGTGCAAGCGACATTGTGCCTCTTCCAAGCTTAGTCTTTAAGGGACTGGCAGCTTCTGCTTCCTCTCCTAGACACGGTCACTTGGGGGAAGCCTTGAGCTACCATGTAAGGGGTCCATGTCTCTGTTGGAGGGACCCCGCGGAGAGGGAGGGCCCTGAGGCCAGGCAGAGAATGAGAGTCCAGCTGCCCCCAGCCCAGCTGAGCCCAGCCTAGTAGCCATCCCTGCCAAGGCCCCAGAAACATCTGAGGGCGCCATGCTGGACCTTGCCGCTCAGTTCGTCCCTAGGATGACTGCAGCCCTAGGTGACATCATATGGTGCTGAAGAACGGCCTGGCTGAGCCCAGACAACCCACCGAATTGTGAACAGTTGTAGACAGTTACTATTTCAAGACACTACGTTTTGAGGTGGTTTGTTATTCAGCTTTAAAAACCTAAACCGCGATCTCCCTTTGCCCTAAAGGCCCAGTTCCCTTTGCCTCAAGGCGGGAAAGACTCTGCAACTTAATTCACCCTCAGGGATCAGGCTGAGGTTGGGACTTCGCCTGACATCACCCTCCTGCTGGTCTTCTTCCCCTTCACTGTCCTGTTTCATCCACTCTTTTGGTTTCTCCTGGGAGAATTTCTTCAATAAATCATGGACACGTGGATCTTGTCTCAGGCTCTGCTTCCAAGAGAATCTGACCTCGGACAGGACGTTTCTGTTTTTCTCATCTCCATCCGGAAGCCGAGGGTCTAGTTCTCAGTTCTCCCTCCCCACCCTTTCCTGCCCTCCTGCATCCAAAAAAGCATACACCACCTTCCAGGTGCCCCGGCAACAGGTAGCCACGTAGTGGGTGGGATGAGGAGAAGACATCCAAGAAGTCTCTGAAGGAAGCAGCAAGCAGGTTGTTTGCCCCGGCCAGCAGCAAATGAAACCTCCCTCCCCGAACCACGCAACCCTGGAGGTCAGGCAGGCGAAAGTCAGGTGGTTGGCATGTTGGCAGCACTTAGGGACCGGGTGGAGATGAGCGTTGTTTCTGATTCTGGGTCTGTGGTGGGAGAGGATTCTGCTGGTTGTGCCAACCCCTCCCTCAGGGAGTCTGTCTCCGGGACCGCCCCGTCCCTACCAGTTCTCAGTCCCTCGAAAACCCAGAATCTATCACCATGGACCCTCCAGCAGGTCCCACAGCCGGGTGCCACTGGAGTCAGATAGATCAGCAGAGAAGATGCTGGGGGCTGGGGGACCACAGCCCAGTGGAGGACCCCCACTCAGAGCTTCCAGCCAGTCCAAGGAGTCCATGGGGCCCCTGGGAGGTGGGGATGGGGAGTTTGTGGGGGACGGGAGCGAGGAAGAGAAGAGAGATGAGAGGCCTTCGGAGTCTGGGGAGGGGGACAGCACATCAAAAGAGCCGGGGAAGTCCAGGGGGATAGGGGGCAGCAGGTCTGCAGGGGAAGAAATGGAGTGTGAACTAAGGAAGGCAGGGATCCGGACCCCAGCCCCCTAGTGGATTCCCGTTACCAGGAGTCCAGAACCTCACCCCCTTTACTCCCAAAGCTCGGAGTTAGGCTCTTACCATCAGGCTCCGCCTGATCCTCCAGGATGTCATCGATGCCGTGGTTCGGAAGCAACTGCGGGGGGGCGGGGGGGGGGCAGAAACGGAGTGAACCTGGGACTCCAGCCCGAATCCTGACCAGAGACCACTAGCTCATTCCCTCTCACCTGTGCCCTCCGGATCGCTTCCTGCAGCTCATCCTCCAGGGTCAGGGCTGCCGAGGCTGGTGCTGAGGAAGAGGTCAGCGCTGGAACCGGAGTCGGAGACGGAGACGGAGCCGCAGCGGTCACGAGGCTTCCCGCACCACGAGGAACAGGCGGCCGGGGAGATTCTGGGCTTGGCTTGGACTAGAACCCAGAAAAGAGTTTCTATAAGCCACGCCCACTCGGCGCAGATCCACCCAGTCGCACCCTGTGGCTCCACCCTCTGGCCACGCCCCTTCACCCCTCGGCCCCCACCTCCGCCACACCCCTTACTCTCTCATTGGCTTCTCTTCCCCCCTTAGCCACGCTCCCCACGTTTCATTCGCTACTCTTTTCTCCAATTCCCGCCCCGTCCTGCTTTGTCTTCCTCTCATTGGTCCATACGCCCCGCCCTCACCGAGCCCTGCCGTCGGGCGGCTACGAGGGCCTTAGGCCTGAGGCGTGGCCAGGGAGCCCCCGCGGGACATTCCTCGCGCCTAGGCTTCTGCCGCTCGCGGGACGGGGCCCCTCCGCGCATGCGCTCCAGGAGCATCGACTTGGTTCCGGACACCGGGAGGCCCCGCAGGCGCAGCTGCTGCCGGAGCTCTGAGACCTGGGGCGGGGGAAGGGGAGAGGACGTGCTGGGTGGGCTGGGGTGCAGGAAGATGCAGGGGCTGGAAACTGGAAATCAAGAGAGGAGGGACTGGGGACCCCAGGCCCTGGATCTCTGATAGGGCCAAGGCTGCAGGGTTAGACTTCTGCGTCCCCACCGAGGGAGAGGGCCAGCCTGGGAAGTTGCTCTCCACACTCACCGTCAGCTCCTCCAATTTAAGGGTCTGAAGTTCCAACTTGTGCGGAGGAGGAGAGGGATTGGAGACTCCTGGGAGGGAGGGAGGGAAGGGAGTGGGCTTCATCCTAGCGATAGTGGTGAGGGGGAAGCAGAGGTTAGAGAGGGCACACAGAGAAAAGGCTTTCTTGGATCCTTAAAGATGGGGACTCGGGAGGATGCAGGAAAATAGAGGTCCAGAATTCTGGGGAGCAAACCCAGGAGGCTAGTTCCTATGCCTGGGAGAGGAGGCGCTGGGGGCTCAGGCTCGGGTCTGAGGCCAGGACTTCTGGAAACTGAAGGAAGAGGGCCAGAAGACCTGGACTCGAGTCCTGGGGGAGGAGCGGACTAAGGGCGGATTCCCCTGACCTCGGACTCTGGGTTTGAAGGAGGTGGATGCTGGGGGCTTGAACTTCCTAGAGGATAGAAACGGAGGTCATACCTAGAAGGTGGCTGCTGTGATTTCATCTCTTCGCACAGAGGTGGCCCAGGGGGTCCCTCGGCCGACCCTTTGGCCTGGGGGTCTGCCCTAGACCTTTGTCTTGGCTCTGGGGGCCTGTACTGGTGGTATGTCAAGTTCCCCTTGGGCTTGGCCTCCCTCCAATGTTGGGAGATCTTGGAAGACTCCTGAAAAAGCAGGTGGGATAGCATATGCTTCAGCTCTGTTCCTACTTCTCTGCCCCAGTGTGAAGTATGGGGTCAGCTTGGTGCCACCAAAGAGGAGAAAAGAGGCCGGCAGCAAGGAGGGCCAGGGCTAGACTCTCAGAGGGACTTCCCCTCCAGTGGAGACTCACCTTTTTCAAGGACTTCCAAGGGCAGCGCTGTGACTCGTGGTGCAGGACCCCAGGACTGGAGAGGAAAGCGGCAGGGCCCAAGAGTGAGGCTGGGGTGGGGGTCAGAGCCAGGCCTGAGGCTGAGATCCAGGGATCTGGATCGGAGACTGGAGAGGCAGAGAAGGATCCCGAGAGGCCTGCAGGCAGCAAGGCGGCAGGGAGGAACAAGGCAGTGTGGGGAGGAGAGTCCTGGAGGCCTCAGACTACCCCCCGTCCGGCGTGGGACAGAAGAAACAGGGAGCGAAAACCAAGCGGTGGGAGCTGGGTGCCTGGACTTCTGGATCTACAGGCAAAGGGGCTAGAAACCCAGAGTTTATATTCTCAAGAAAGTCAGAATCATGTCTTCAGCCACCAAGGGGAGTGGTGGCTGAGGATCACAGATTTCTGGGGTTTTGCTGGAACGGGGGTGGCGCAGCTCTCCTGGTCTTGGGGAGAGAAGAAAGCCACGTCCTGAGATTCGTGTGTGTGCCAAATGTGGAGTTCGGGACGTTTTCTTCTGGATTCATGCATTTCACGGGAGAGGGGAAAACGAAAGAGCTTCCAGGGGTGGGGCGGCAGGGGACCTGTATGCCTGAGACCTCCGGAGAGGACAGGATGGGATGAGTTCCGTGACTCCTGGGGCACAGACAGACCAGCAAGGAAGCCTGGCAGCTGCACTCCAGTGTGCCCCGGGGGACTGGGGCCACCATCCCCTCCCTCTCAGGGCCCACACTTACTCGGGTCCCCACACCGTCTGTGGATCCGAAGCTGGAGGACTGTGGAGGGGAGAAGGGAGTGGGAGGAGAAAGGCGGGAAGGGAGTGTCCAGGAGCCCGGCCTGGCAGGCGGTTCCAGCTGCAGTTGTTGGCGGGCCACGCGTGCCCAGCCCCCTCACACACACCCCATGCAGGCCTCCCTTTCCTGGGCCTCCCGCCTGCTCCCTGCCAGCAGAGCGCCAAGGGCCAGAGCCATTCTGGGGCTAGGTGCCAGCCAGCGTGCGTGCAGGAGGCAGCCCTGCCCCCAGCTCCACCTGCCCCCTTCAGGAGTGCGTGCCCACCCCACCCCTGGCACAGTCACCATCTTGGCAGCCAGGCCCATTTGTCCATCGCCTGCTTTTGTCCCTGCACTCCACTTCACACATGCTAGCTGTCTTCTGCTGCCTCTGGGCCTCCCCAAAGTCACCCTCTCTGCACACCCACCTTCAAACACGCATTTCCCTGGGCTTTGGTTTTGCACACACGCCACTTCTGTGCGCTTGTAAGTACCTTTGACTCTCCACTCGGCTCTCTCTGCCTTGCCACTCACCGAGCCACACAAACGCACTTACTGCACATTCAGGACTTGGTTGGTCCCTTTGCACATTTCTGCTCTTTATACGCCTGCGCTCTTGTGCACACTCCTTGCTTTTTGGTTACTGTGTCTTTGCGCTCACCCAACCACAGAAGCACACTCATTTGCACACTCAAGTATCCTTTGCCAGCTCAGGAACTGACCTCCAGTTCCACTCCCTTGCACACTTCCTACCAGCACGGGGACCTAAAATACAACTTAGACATTTTCAAGGCTTGATAGCTCACTGGACCCTAACTCACATTCCCACACTGATTGCTCCAAAATCTCCACTCTGTGCACTTCGCTTTGCACACGTGTCAGTTTAAGCCCCTGTTCCTTCGCAGTGCCTGACCCTCTGCACACCCACCCCTCATGTTCACAGGAGCATTGCACTAGCCACCTGCATACTCACTGATTCTACACAACTTGGCCCCTTGGCTGAGATCTCCTTTATGCACAGTGCTCTTTGGCACAGAAAACACACACCTCATGGATCCCATCACCCCCTCCTACCTCACCCCACCCTGCACACTCACAGAGTTAAACTGTCCCCGGGGCCCAGAGAACCCCTTTCCTACAAGCACAGAGAGAAGCCTCTCACCAGATCGGAACTTGGAGCGAATGATTTGGGAGCGCTGGGAGGAAGCCGCCAGGGTCATTGCCAAGCCTGGGATGGGGACCTAGACTGGAAGGAGGGCAGGACCCCCACAGGAGGCAGGGTCAGAATGGAGGTGTTGACGCAGCTGGGAAAAAGCCTGAAGGACTCGGGGAAAGGAGAGGCCTTGGGCCATAACTTCTGGATCCCCAAGGAGAAGAAGGCTGGGGACCCAGACTGCTGGGTCTGAGAGCCCCAATTCCTGGAGCCTGGGGGAGAAAGGATTTAGGATCTGGGACTCATGGGTCCTAGGAAGGAGGACACTGGGGTCCTGGTCCCCTATGTCTCTGGTCCCCTGGGTCTATGAAGGGGGAGGAAGAAGACGGGGTGAAGGGCCAGAATTCAATACTCTGAGAGGACTAGAATCCAACATCCTCGATCAAAAAGGGAAAAGGAGCTGATAGGTCAGTCCCGGGGGCCTGCAAGTCTCTTCCATCTCCATTTGTCAGCCACCATGGTCTGTGGGGAAGGGACTGGGTCCAGAGAAGGGACAGAAGAGTTAAGATGGGTCTCCCCGCCACACCCCCGTACCCCAGGGGCGTCTCACCAGGTGGCCTCGGTGTAGCTGTGCTCTGAGGCAGGTTGAGTCCCGCCGTCTAGGCTGGAGGCCGCGAGCTCCACCCTACCAGCCTGGGACCCCCCTTTTGGGGGCGTGCCGGGAGCCCTTGAAGAGGGGCGGGGAGACAGAAGTCCCGCCTGGAATCCTGAGAAAGGGCGGGAGGACGGGCTGAGAGGGACCGGGGCGGGGCGGACATCGGGGTTCCCTGGCTCGCTCCTCCTCCGCGTCCTGGAGCTGCGGGGTCGGGCGGGGCAGCGGCAGGCGGACTGACAGAAGCAGGTGCCAGCGAGTGGCGCCGGGGCGAGCAGCAGAGGCAGGTGGTCGCCTCCCGACCCCGCAGGCAGGTGCCACCTGTCGCTTACTTTTTCCCTGACGCAGCAGCAGGAGTCAGATTCAGGGGAGTGAAAAGTTCACGCTGGTGCCCCGGACTCCTGGGTCTGAGGGAGGAGGGAGATAGGGACCTGGATTCCTGGGATTGAAGGAAAGGGGGCGGGGCCTGGACTCCTGGGTCCGAGGGAGGAGTGGGCTGGAACCCCAGGTTTCCGGATGCTGGGAATAGGGGCAAGAGGTGTTGGGACTCCGCAGTATGCCCGTCAGGCAGAAAGACCCAGAAGGGGGCTGGGAACCCTGACTCTTGGGTCTGAGGGAGCAGGGGGCTGGAGTATGGATTTGAAGATCAAAACGAGAGGATGGCTGGTTCCCACTGGCAGGACGGAGGGCCTGATATTTGGCAGAGCAAGCTTAGAGCTCTGTCCTGAGATTCGTGGGAGGCCCCGGCGCTCCTGGGTTGGATTACGTGCAAGAGGGCAAGCTGAGGCCGTGGTTATAAATACCTCCTCGGAGTCGGCAGGAGCCCAACGCTCCAGGCAAGGGCCCTGGTGCTAGATTTGGCAGAAAATCATCACTAACGCTCCCGGGTCTTAACAAGTGAGGCGTTGCCAATACCACAGATACCTTTATTTCTCCTGGCACTCAGAACCCAAGCCCACCTACCCACCGTCCCATCTACGACCCCAAAACTCAAACCCCCAGCATTCCAAGCGGGTAAAGAACTACAACTCCCAGAAAGTTCTGCGCTCGGGGGGGCTCCATTGGGTAGAAGCCGATCAACTGTCAAGGCTCGCGCGTTCTTTTGCTATTGGTTTTCAAGGAGGCGTGGCCACAGGAGGTCCGTGGCGGTGATTGGCCGGAAGTTCCTGCTGCTCAAGATCCCAGAGGAGGCGGCGGAGTCTACGCAGTTCACGGTGCAGGGCGTCGTCCGTCACCGGCCCTGTGAGGCGCAGACGGGAGCTGCCCAACGGCAGGATGAGGGGAGGGTGGGAGGAGAAGCTTTCGAAGATGTCCCCTATGAGAGCGAAAATACGGAGTTAAATTCTGAAAATGGGCGTTAGGCAGCGCTGTCAAAGAGACTGCGTCACAAGCGAAGGAAGAAAAAAACTGCAACTCCCAGCAACTCCTGGAGCGGGGTCCACTCAAACGCGACTCTTGGAGTCCCCAAGCACCTTGGGAGTTGTAGTTCAGACTATGAAAGGCCACCGGTGCTTGGGAAACGGGTGATATTGTTGGGTTCTTGGATCCATGAGGAAGGAAGGGCTAGAGACTTAGTTTTACAGATTTCTTCGAATGAGGGGCTGGAGCCGATACTCCGACATGACAAGAAGGGTAGTTTGTGGGGGAAAGAAGCTGGGGGGTGAGGTCTGAACCCTTAAGAAAACAAGAGAGCTGACGGCTTGAACTCCCGTATCCTGGGGAGAAGGGGATTGAGGTCCAGCACTTAGTTACTGGGGGAGGAGAGGGCTAGGGATCCAAAATCCTGAGTCAGGAGGTCGAAGGGGTAGGCCTATGGATTCTTAGGTCCTGAGGACAGAAGCTGATCGCCCCACTGCCTGTCCCCATTTCTCCTCACCTGTGTCCACAGCATCTCGTTCTGTAGGGGGAGGGTCCCAAGCAGGTGGAGGCCCGTGGCCAGGACCCAGCTGGTAGTGGCTGAGCAAATGGTGGAGCTGAGCAGGGGTCAGGGTGGGGTGGTCAGTGCGCAGGCTGTTCCAGGAAGCCTAGTGGGAAGGGGAGGTGAGAAGGCTTTGATCAGAATGAAGCAGCTGAGGAATCCTGAATGGAAAGTCCTCCATAAAGGGGGTGGGTGGAGTAAGATGCACTGGTGTGGGTGCAATGTCTTGGGCACTGCGAGGCCTGGTTGTCACCGAAGTGAGGGTACACTGGGGTGTGCTGCTAGTTTTTTTGTTCTGTTTTGTTTTTTAATGAGATTTGCTGCAGAATAAATGAAGATAAGATTAGGCCAGGAGGGAGAAGAAACAAAATTGGCCATTCATTCATAGTATCGAAGCTGGCGATGAGTGCCTGGGGATTCATATTCCACTGTGGTGACTTTTTGTATCTGTTTGAAAAGTTCCGCACCTAACCTGGCTAGCCTCGGATCCATGAGTGTGGTCAAAACCAGAGACTCCGGACCTAGATTGCCTGGGTGCAAAAACTCCAGCTTGGCGACTTACTACCTTCTGGCAAGTAAGTTTTTGTGCCTCACTTTCCTCACCCGTAAGTTGGGGAGATAAGGAACTACCTAGTAGGGTTATTATGAATATTCAATATGACAAGATTATAAAGTACTTTAGAACACTGCCTGTGCTTCTTATATACTCTGCAGAAGTTTGGCAAGTAAAAATAAATCAAGTGACCTAGTCATCCCAATTCTGTTTCCTTGTCTAAGAAAAAAATTGTCAATTAATAACATACCTTATGGGGCATTCAACTAGAAATGCTAAACAGCGCCTGGCATAGTTTCTGTTCAATGAATGTTTTAACTATCACATCGCTCTCATACTAGACATCCTGAAAAAGTATGTCTGAGGGGCGGGGCCCTGGAAACTATTTTTAATAAGTCCCACTGGGATTCAGATGCAGCCCAGTTTGGACACTTGCTGGACACCTCCGTCTAGCTGCCGATGGATCATCCGTGGTGTCTGAGCTGCGATGGGGGGCAGCATGAAGTCCAAGGGAAGACCCAGGGGTAAGCTGAATACAGAGGATGACTGAGGAGTCACAGGTCGAGGGTCGGCAATCACCTTGATCAGGGATGTGCGGGGCACACAGAGCAGATTCACAGCCATGGAGAGTTTCCGGAAGAATTCAGTGGCAATGTCTCCCAGCCCAGCCCCTTGCAGCCAGTCCAAGACAAGGTCCAGGTTGGTCCGGATTTGGACAGCTCGAGACCATTGATAGAAAGGTCGGCCTTGACCTGTGAGGGAAGGGGATGAACAGCAATGGGTGTGTGGACCCTGCCTTTCTGCCCCCCAGACCCTTCTTGTCCTTCAGCTTGGGATCCGGAGCTTGCTTTCCAGAGTCCCTAAAGGTTAGGCTTCAGCCTGTTCCGTGTCTGACTCGACATGGATCTCAGTGGCCTGTCTCTGCCTCCTTGCCCTTCCCAGTCCGACCCTCACCTCGTTCCATCAGTGAGTTGAGAAGGGACGCGTTGGAGAAGAAGAACAAGTAGCCGAAAGTCTGAGACACGAGGTCTGGATGCAGCTCGCACTGGCTGGTCAGTTCCAGAGCTGCCTGGAACACCCCTAGGGTAGGTCTCAAACCCAGAGGCATGGCCTCCAGCTCTGCACCAGGTCCTGGAAGATCTGCCCCACCTGTGAAAGGGTTACTATCCAGGAGAGCGGGCAGCGTTGAATACAGGGTCTAAGGAGATACAGAGATGCAAACAAGCAATCAGACCACAACTCCCGAGAAGCAGCAGGGTAGTAGTAGTGCATGAAGATACTGGGAAGCTCCACCAAAGGTTTCTGGGAATTATAGTCTATTCTGCCTTCAAAACCCTACAGTTCTGTTTCCATGAGCAAGTTCCTTCTTTCCAGTTGGTTTTCTAGCATTCATCAAGCCTGGGACACCTCAAGTCTTAAGAAAGGTTTTACAGAAGTTTCTTGGGTATTTTAAGACCACCCCTGGAGGCTTACGGGGACTTACAGCTCCTCAACAGAAGCAGCTCAAGGAGGACAAAGGATACTGAACAAAGAGGCCCCCTTCAATCAAAGACTTATTTATCCAGAATTCCCGAAGGAAAGAGAAAGAATGGAGAGGCAGGAAGTAGGAGTGGGGTGGCAGTTAGCCAGTGGAAAGTGAGATGACAAGGATAGGAAATGAGGTCAGAGCCAGAAAAGAAAGAAAACCACACTTGGCGAGGATGTACAGGAAGTGAAGCTTTGAAGGGAAGGGGTTCACGAATCAAGGCTCCTCAGGGGACGCAGACTATCTGTCCCAGAAGTTCCCCTGTCATTTTACAGATAGGGAAGCAGGCTCCCAGAAGCCAGAAAGCCTGAGAATTCCAAGAAGCAATATGAAGGCCGAGCGTGGCAGTGAGAACCTGGGGCAGCAAGCGGCTCCTATGGGATGGACACCGGAGAAAAAAGGTCTGAGGCTCAGAAAAG